AAAGGGCTTTTCATGTTTCATGTCATCACTTTGGTCCAGCAAATTTGCTCATCATCTTGGCTATAATGGGAGCAACCTTAGGGTTTGCCTGATGCTTTGCCAGGTTTGCAGGGTTCTTCATGACTGCCAAAAAAAGAACCACCAATAGATTTTAGAGATTTCAAATATAAAATACCTTGGTTTGTACTGCACAATATCACAATTCTTCAACATCAACCCATAGTGATCTACTCTAGAAAATTTTGAGATGCTGAACTGAACTCAAACCCATCCATCAAACCATATATGCTATTATCGAAATACTCGCAATAATATTGTGCATTACGCAAACGGCCTCGCCTACAAATTACTTCACTAACAAATTACATGTAGATTTGTTATCCAATCATAGTTTTTATTCTCACTTGATCCACAATAAAGCTAGAAGATCGTAAACACGCCAGAGAAGAAACAAGAAAGTGATGAGAACAGTCAAAGTTTAAGGCCAGGAAGACAAATCAAAATCATCATGAATCAGACCTCTTTCCTTCTTCAAATTTGGAACACAGAAAGGAAAAACATGCAGTGCTGAATGCAGTAACAAAACAATAAATTGAAACTTAATTGATGACATCACGGCTCGTCCCACTACTACAAAAACAGAGTTTACTAACACAGCATAATCAGGTAAAATCGTTTCTACAGCAAATCACAGGCACACAACAAAAGGAGTCAAGGGAAAGTACCATCTTGGAGTGCAGCCATAACTTCGGGATCTTGGAACGCTGCCATTAATTCAGGATCCTGCCAACACATAAAGAAAATTGTCACGTCTTAAACAAAAATATGAGATATAACAACAGATCAACAGAACTGCTGACAGATGTGAATAGTACTACAATCTCAACAGTCAACTGTCAAGCAGCTAGCAGTCTAGCACTATCCCTCCAATTCAAAATCAATGGTAGTATCACGTAATCATCACCAACATACATTGTGAACTATCTACAAACTCAATAGGTAAAAACGACTCAGAAATAGGATCGAATTTGATGCTTACGCTCAGAATTTTGCTGTAGTCAATACCCCCGGGCATACCACCAGGCATACCTCCACCCATACCACCCCCAGGAAAACCTCCAGGCATACCACCCATACCAGCCCCAGGAAAACCTCCAGGCATGCCACCAGGCATGCCACCTGGAAAGCCTCCAGGCATGCCACCTGGAAAGCCTCCAGGCCGGTTACTCGATGACTGCTCTTGCTTCTTAGCCTTTTCATAAGCAGCCTTTGCACATGCACAAAATGCAAATTCAATATATGAGGGACATTTATATATATATATATATATATATTTTTTTTTTNAAAAAAGAAGGAGGTAAAGGAAACAATGGTTACCTGAGCTTCAGCTCGACGACGCTGTCGGTCACGTTCAGCGTTCCTATCATTTCTCTCCTTTCGAAGTCTGTCATATTTCCTGCGATGCTCCTCAATCTTATGTGCATTTGGCTCAACCTATTATCATAAGTTATAAAGTCTTAAGTACCATGACCGATTACCACCACAAAGGGCAAATGTATCTTGTCTGCGTTGAGCTCAACTTACTTCGCAATATAACTTAATAAAGGGAATAAATACTGTCAAGCATGTTTAGAGGCTACCTAATCCAATTAAAGACCAACCTTCTTAAGTACAGCGCTGATCTCCTCATCGTAGTCGAGATTTGATGCCACGTGGAGGTCTTTGGCAGCTTGTTCCCATTGCCCAAGCATTGCTTTCGCTATGCCACGTGATTTATAACCTTTTGCAGAATCGGGATTGATCTACAATCAAAATCATCAATGAAGTTTAATGCCCACCATCAATGCATGACAACAGAGAAAGCAACACAATAATCTTGACCGAATGACATCTCGCGAATATTTAAGACGCCAATAGCTGCGCAAAGTTAGCAGAACCCAACTAACCACTTCACGCAGATCTTATGAGTACTGAGTGGTAAATGATTTGTTTTACTCAGACAGTACTATGCTTGATACTCCTATTAGTTTGTCAGGAAAGGATAGGGAAAATTTCAAAATAAGAAAAAAGTAAGCCACCTCGAGAGCTGCAGTAGCATCCCGAATGGCAGCATTTGGTTTCTTCAGTTTGATGTAAACACTAGCTGCATGTCACCAATCAAATTCAAATAAGATTCCCCTCCAGATACAGCAAACTTGTGCTATGAGAATTCCAAGTGTAAAAGTTAATCATTATCTACCTCGGGTCGCATACATAATGGCAGAAGTAGGGTTAAGCAGAATCGCTGAGGTGAGATGTTCAATAGCTTCTTCAAGTTTACCTGAGATATAAAAATCATTTGAAAGCACACCATGAAAATATGATCTTAAACGCAGTAAATTATGATCATGCATACAAGCACATGCACTACCTTCACCAATTGCTTCCATAGCCTTCATTTTGGCCTCTTGTGAAGCGTCCCTGTTTTCTTCACTAACCTCAACAGATGGGTCCCCCATCTAGAAGTTCCAATGTTCAAAACAATTTTCTTTACTACAAGAGGGATTCTAGAAATAATCCAATCAACTAATATTAAAAATGTTGAACAGACCTTCTGTGGAGGATCATTATCAGGCTCCACAACATCACTCTCCTCGAGTTCAATGTCAGACTCAACTATTTCAGGCTCTTCTTCTTCGTGAGGTGATTTATACTCAGCGTCATCCATATCTTCATCAGCCTCATCCACCACATGAGACTTCTGCAATAAAGTAAGCAAAACGAGAAATTTATGTAACATTCACCTAAAAAGAAAAACAGAATGAAAGGAGTTCCTCAATTTGGAAAATAAAGCCTCAAAGCGAAATCACCAGCGAATATCACCATAAGATCTATAATTCCAATATAAATGTTAGCTTTGTCCTCATTATGACTCAAACTAGTTTTCAGACACCTAGGGGAGAGCTATATCTCAATTTTCAGATCATCGTTCAAAAGTCATGTCAGTTTCCTCCATAGACACTTACACTCACTTTAGAAAAGTACATCAACACCAATACACTACTCCACACATAAGTCATAAGTCATAACTAATCAGTTTTAGACATCAAACGCACCACTTCTTGATCTTCACACCATTTAGTCATTTACTAGCGAGAATATGAAACAAACATAACTTTGCACAAGTAAACTAAACCATGAAAAATGGGATTGAACAAAAAACGAAATCTTAATCAACAGAAGCAAAGAAACGAAACCTAAACCCAAGACAAAAGACATACCGCCTTATCCTCCCTCCCAGGCGACGGGATCTTGCCACCAAGGCTGAAAATTCATCAGAAAAGTGAATTCAAGCCATGTCGAACCAATATTCCAAACTCCACCCATCATTCTCAAAATAGAACATATCCGACGGCATAACAACGAATATTTCAAAATAAACATACACAAAATGCAAAAAAACCTAATTATAAACAATACAGACACAAATACGCGCGTTATACCTCTCGATGTATTCCCGAAAGAAGGAAAGAGATGGGTACGAAAGAATGGAAGGATTAGACTTCAACTGCTTGATGAACTCCTCCAGTTGTTGAACCTTCGACGCGTCCATTTTCCGGTCGGTTAATTACGTCAGCAGAATTCGGCGGTGTACAGATTCTTAAAGTGGATCAGACGAAAATATGAGTAGTAGTAGCAGTGTTGGGCACTTGGGCCTTTTCTATTGGCGACGGCCTTCTAGTAGCTTCTTTCTTGTGGATAAATTCTTTCTCGTGCCAGGCTGCCAGCACATTTTGCTTTAATTTTAGGGTTTTGTTTATAAAATTCTAGTACTCTCTTGTGGCTAATTGATTGACTACTATAAATGTGGAAATTGGGATGGTTCAAGAAAATATTTTTTATAAATTATTTTTAACTTCAATAGTTTGTGCTGTAAGTTTTATATATGGTCTCAAAATACTTAAATACACAAGAAAGTGTCCATTGGTTCGCATGTAACACAAGTTAATGTGTCTTTTTGGAGGGAGAAAGCAACATATATTCATATTACAATATTATAATGAGCAAAATGGTGAAAAATGTCACAAAAATCCTTCTCATTTGGTAGGATGTCAATAATGTTGAGCTCGTTTGATTGGGATGATATAATTGGACTAGTATAGTATATAACGGATGGACTAAACTCTACGCATTACGAAATAAATCAATCTTATATTTGTTATATATGGTGGGCATAGTTTTTAAACCCGGCCCGATGATCGATTCGGGCATGTCCTCGGGTCACCGGTTCAACCGTCGGGTCACCGAGTCAATTGCTGAACTGGATAATTAATTTTAAAATTTTTAAAATTATATATAGAGTATTTTTGTTATATAAATACACATAAAAGTAACAAAATTAAATGTTTTGTGTATAAAATTTGTATATTAAAGTGTTAATAATATGTATCTCATGATAAATATTTACCATATAAACATATATACATATTTTTATTTTTAAAAAACAAAAAAATAAAAAATATATATGGACCGGGTTGACCCGGCCGGGTCAATACCGGGTCGGCCGGGTCTCGGCTGGGTCGACTGGGTTTTGACCGGGTTTGACTGGGTCCTTGGTTGCCCGGTCCAAATACTCCACCCGGACCGGTTTCGGCTCCGGGCCGGTCCGGGTCTGAAAACACTGATGGTGGGTGAATTCAATAAAGTATTCTTACATCCTCGAGTATAATTCCCTTGATCTATCTATATCTATATCTATTTATCTATCTATCTATATCTATATCTATATCTATCTATCTATCTATTTATCTATCTATCTATATCTATACTACTCTAAAAGGACGAGTGTTTTTATAAAAATATGAACTACCTAAAATAACTTTATTTTGACATATTTTTAATATCAAATAGTAATACACTAATACATATTTTATTTTATGTTTTCAATTAAATAATGAATTACCTAAAAAATTCTTACTTTAACATATTTTTAGTGGCAAATTAGTAATACACTACTACTCATCATATCTTATATTTCTAATTAATAACTAATGCTTAATTAATTAAATACAAATACATGAACATAACATTTCACATCTCCTAAAAATCAAACACAATATTCTCGCACCATTATTTCTCACGAAATGACTTCCTTCCACATATCTCTCATAAATCAACCCAACATCAACCTAAACAACAAAGTTTTAAAATTATATAGAATTTTTGTTTTATAAAAAATTCTTGTTTTTAATATAATTATATACATTATCTGACAAAGTAGAAAAGTTGAACAATTCATTTAGCTACTTCATTATTTAAGAAAAGTAAATTTTGATCCCACAAATATAGAATTAGAGTAGAAATTGTACTTTAGTCTTACTGGATTGAATTTTGATCCCACAAATATCGTTATTTGTTTGTTCGTTTGTTTTTTCCAATTTTAGTCACAAAGTGAATATAATTAACGAATTTTCACTTGACCATTAGATGGTTAATATCAAGGTGAGTAATATTTTAATTGTTAACACTTAAAATATATGAATTTTACATTCCAGAACTAAGTAAAATATATCATGACATTTTAATTAATATTATTTTATTTGAGCCACTGATTTTCAAGATGTTTACTAAATAAAAGAACAATATGAAAGTAAAAAAATATTAAATCCGATAAATAACATTAAAAATATAATTAAGTTGTAAGACTTACTAATAAATATGAAAACAAATAATAAATAAAAATTTTATAATTAATAAAAGTAAATATAAAACTTTTAAAACTTATACTTATCGATGTAAATGAATCGAATTGTTTATTTCTTTTTAATTTGTTGTGCTTATTAGTTCTATGTGTAACTTTTAGGTGATAAATAATAGTTATTTGTACTTTTATCCATGTAGGTTGGAAATTTTAATATTTAAAAAAATGATTATTTTAATTTTAAATAACTTTTTGTTTGCTATTAGTTTTTTTAATATAATATATAAATATCATATTACTATATAAAATAATAATTATTTTCACTTGACCATTAGATAGTTAATATTAAGGTGAGTAATATTTTAATTATTAACACTTAAAATATATGAATTTTACATTCAATAATTAAGTAAAATATATCATGAGATTTTAATTATTATTATTTTATTTGAGCCACTGATTTTCAAGATGTGTGCTAAATAAAAGAACAATATAAAAGTAAAAAAATTATAAATATGATGAATAACATTAAAAATATAATTAAGTTGTAAGACTTACTAATAGATATGAAAACAAATAATGAATAAAAATTTTATAATTAATAAAAGTAAATATAAAACTATTGAAACTTATACTTATCGATGTAAATGAATAGAATTGTTTATTTCTTTTTAATTTTTTGTGCTTATTAGTTCTATGTGTAACTTTTAGGTAATAATAATATTTATTCGTACTTTTATCCATGTAGGATGGAAATCTTAATATTTAAAAAAAATGATTATTTTAATTTTAAATATCTTTTTATTTGCTATTAGTTTTTTTAATATAATATATAAATATCATATTACAAATAAAATAATAATTATTTTTGTTATATAATATTTAATACGTAAAAGGTTGTAATTCAATTGAGAAATTAATAGGTAATCTTGAGTTAAAATAACGAGTGATTTCTAAAAAGTTATATGGACTTAAAAGTTCATGTGTTTAATATATTTTTAATAAAAAAATTTATAAATACACTTAATTAATAAAAAACTACAGCATAAACATTTTAATGTTTAAAAGGAAATGCAAAAAATAAAATGCTATAAGATCCACTAAAAATTTCAAAGAATATTTCATTTGCATAGCTTACATTGCAAAATATCACTGGTTATTAACATAAATCATATTAAATTATAATGAGATTTTAGTGGATTTAATGATTTGAATTACCATTATTTATTGTTGTGTGAATTCATTTGATCTTTTTTTAGGAACATATTTCTACCGTTGAAAAATTGTTTATTGACAATTGTATAAAATTCAATGAAAGTTGCATTTTGCAGTGGTAGATACAGACAATTTCATATTGGGGGCACTATTTAGCTATATAAAAAATATACCATCAAAATAACATAATGTCACTACAATATATAAATTATACTTTTCATAATTTGTCAACTTTCTCATCTGTAATACATGTTTAGCAAATTTATACAGTTACAATAAGTTAAAAATATTTATTAAAAAAAACATAATTTTTCTCAACTAAAAATAAGCAAATCATTGAAAATAATATATCTTTTAAAATCTGATGAAGAAAAAATCTATGTTGTAGTATAGATGACTTGACAATATAATTGATTAATTTATAAATTATGACTAATTGATTATAATATTAATGAGAAAATTGTAATTGTATATAATATAATATTAAGATATACAAATAGATGATATATTAATACATATGACCGAAATAATATATTCTTTAAAAATCGTATGGACAAAAAATCTATGTTGTAGATAGTTGTCTCGACAATAGTGTTGATGAATTTATAAATTATGAATAATTTATTATAATATTAAAGAGAATTGTAATTGTATACAATATAATATTAAGATATACAAATAATTGATATATTAACACATATAATCGAAAAATTTCTATACATAATATTATGAATTTTTAAGGAAATACTAAAGTTAAAACATATGAAAGAACAATATAAAACAAAATTAAATCTGACAAATGATATTAAAATTACTAAGTTGTAACACGTACTAATAAATATTACAAAATAATAAATAAATATTTTATGATTAATAAAAGTAAACATAAACCTTTGAAAACTTATATTTATCGATGTAAACGAGGAGGGTTGTTAAATGCTTGTTGATTTTTGTACTTATTAATTCTATGTATAAGTTTTATGTGATATAAAATGGTTATTTTTACCTTTACCCATGTAGGTTAGAATAAAAAAAATTGATTATTCTAATTTTAAATTACTTTTTATTTGTTACTATCTTTTTACATATAATATATATATATATATATATATCACATATTACATATATAAATAATAATTATTTTAATTATTTAACATTTAATATGTAATAAATGTAACTCATTTGGGAATTTAATAGGTAATCTTGAGATAAAATAATGAGTTACTTTAAAAAAATTATATGGATTAAAAAGTTCACGTATTTAATATATTATAATAGAAAATTTGTAAACAGAATTACTCAACAACTACTACCTAAAATATAATGTCTAAGAAGGAATACAAAAAAAATGGTATATTGGAATGGAAAATGCATCTGTAAGATATTCCATTGAAAATTTCAACGGATATTTCATTAGTATAGCTTTTATTGGAAATTTCATTAACTATTCCAACAGAGATCAAATTAAATTACATTGAAAATTTTGTGAATTAAATGGTTTCATTACTACAATTTATTATTGTTTGAATTTCTGTTGAATTTTTTTATGGATTATATTTCGACCATTGTAAAACCTGTCTTTGAAATTGTAAAAAATTTTATAGAAGTTTCATTGGAAAACTAATTGCTGTGGCAGATCCAAAATAATTTTATATTGGGGCACTATATAGTTAATAGAAAAAGTATACCATCAAAATATGCCATTACAATTTTTTTTCTCCAAAACGATAGATGTATTATATAAATAAGCCGCACAAAGTGCGAAAAAAAAGCAGCCAAAGGCTGAATAGTACAACCAAAGACTGATAAAACTGGGAGGCAGATCCAAAGGATCACCCAAAGCCTAACCTAGGAAAGCTAGAATAATAAACTCGCAACACCACAAATCAACAACAAAAACTACAACGAAAACTACGAAAAGATCCCAACAGGATAATACCCGAGTGTCTGATCCCAATAGA